TATTGGGACGCTCTCCGTCGTCAGTCTACTCTACTACAAACACCCTCACAGCTTGCTAGAACTCTAGCCTCTTCAAAGAAATGACAGCCGCACAGACTCGAATCGCAGAGACACTAGAGACATTCTACGGTGCATCAGACAGAACATCAGAAGGTGCAATGGCTGGTCACGCCTATAAACGATCCGTAGACGACCTTGACGCCGGCTTCGGTCGAGAACTCGTACGTCTACCTGTCTCTTTCATTGATTCCGCAGTCATCAATCCCCAACACCTTATGACGTATCTACCATCCCCCATCCACGCACCGTCCCTTCACATCCTCAACGTCATCATCAGGACATGCCTTTTCGGACAACAATAACCGAGCCACTGGGTAAAATGTGCGCTTATTTCCCAGTGGTGAATGAACATGTCACCAAGCGCAACAAGAAAGTTCGTGGTCCGCTCGAGTAGGATCTCCAGACGATTCTTAAAATAGTTCTACCTCTTCAGCTACTGGACTATGACGCTGCACGAAGTAGACTCAAGAAACTTGTGGAAAAACCCAGTGAAGACCCAACTAAACTTCCAAAGGTCCGTTCCTCCTTCATACTTCGCAGATTCCTCTAAAACTTGTCTATCGCAGGCTCAACAAGAGAACGATGATGCAAAGGAGGTGTTTGACCTACTGAACGATCAACTCATCGCAGAACTACCACAACTACTCGACTTGCGTGTTCCTTACTTCGACCCAAGCTTTGAAGCTATGATCCGAATGCAGTGCAAGTTTGCAGAGGAGGGTTACGAGAAACTCAGTGGCGTTCAACGGTTTGTCGTTTACGCTCTCTACAACACGCTCGGCCTGATGATCCCCTTCCTTCAAAGGTATTTCTCTGATAATGTTCGCGATGACTACGCAGCAGGACAATTAGACGCTCAGGTGCGTTTTCGTAGAGCCTGCAAAAATCTCGTCCTTACTTTTTCATTAGGTTGAAGGCATCCTACAAGAAATGCGAGAGCTTTCTATCTGTGGTGGAAACTGAGTTCATAGCACATCATATGAATGCGTCACTGGTGGTTGGAGTAGATGTATCCCATTATAATTTGGATCTACGGACTATGTCGATTGCATTTTCTTTTCTTTATTTAACTCTATGCGTGGGTAAGACTCGCTATGCGACAAAATTGACTTGCGTTAAAAGTACACTAGAAGGCAACAGTGAGGTGAGAGAAGGTGAGTCGATTAGCAGATATCAGATAGTGGAGGAAATCAAACACTCACTGCACAAAAACTGGGCTCAGGAAAACCATGGAACGAAAACATGTTTAGTACAAGAAGAAAAACAAAGCACGGTCAAGGAAAAAGGAAAATCATGGATGAATCGTAAAAGCCATAAGAACAAAAGTGCCAGCATTAACCAGCAAGCCAAGAACGTAAAGACACAGAAACAGGAGAAGAGGGTCACCAAAAAGCTGTCATATTTCACGTTAGTCGATCTTCTAGCGATGTACCAGTAACAGGGCCTCCACGTCCTCGGCCGGGTTGACCGCGACCTCGTCCTCGACCACGAGGTGGAGGTGGATGCCCGTTACCATTGTTCATCCTCGTAAGTAACTCTGGCGGCGCCTGAGCACGACCACGACCCATCGGGCGCACTGTTTCGTAGTACATATCGTCTTGCGGTGGCGGAGAACCTCTTCTAAACCCAGACCCGGAGCCACCATAATTAGGAACATAACTATCGCCTCTCCGTGGCGGTTGGCGGTCAAGTCTAAACGCTAACGCTCCCCCGTCTCTCTGGGGAGGCGGACTAGGTGACGGGACGTAAGGTTGTCGCCCACCATCATCGTCATCCTCAAATCGAGATCGAGACGGAGCTGGGTACTGTTCCTCCTCGAAATCTCGGCCTCTCTTCCTTGGGTTGAACGGCTGAGGGCTAAAAGAACGCCGATAATCGCCTGCAACCCACGAATCACCAGATCCAGAACGATATCGTTGAGGTTGTGGAGGGGAATAATGGTCAACTTGTGTCTGGGTCCAGGATCGAGGTGGTTTACCCCCTGAAGTCTTGCGAGCTGTTGGCCTACGCTTTGGTGGCCCAGTGCCCGCCGGTGTCGGAAGATCTAGCCCACGGTCCTCTTGAACATCAGGGGATATCGGGGAAACAGGTGGTAATGGATGAGCGACATATACGTCGGCCGTGGGCTTAGGCTTGGGAGGCAAAGATGGATTAACTTTGAGAGGAGGTGGACGCGTTGGAAAGGAGATAGCGACAGCAGTGCCAACACTCGAGGAAGTAACGGTAGGTTGTAGAGGTTCTATTGTTGATTTTGGTGATGTCGACGTATTTGGTGGCTTTGCGACTTTAGGTCGCTTAACTGATCGGACGCGCGAGCTGGGAGAAGTCAAAAGCACTTCCTCAGTGTCGGGCTCCGTCTTGATCCGCTCTGGAGATGTTACGTAACGCAAGTTTAATGCTTGCGTTTCATGTGGGACAGGTGTTGGTGGGAATGAGAGTGCAATTCCTCGTTCGTCACTGTGGCGATAGGGGGAGGGTGGGGTTCCACAAGTTTGCTCGCTCAGAGGAGATGGGTGAGTGGATTGGGGGAGATGTGCTATAGGCGGCACACTGACATCTCGATCAGCAAGAGACGCGGTCAGCGGTACTTGCTTTCGGATGGTGGGTTGGGGTTCAGGAGCAGCCGCAACGGCGGGTGCTTGTTGACTTTTTACTGAAGGAGGAAAAGCAGTGCCGTGTGCTTGGGGCGGGGCAGGCTGTTTAGGACCTGGAATTGATTTGCCCGGTGGGAGGGCTTGCACCTTCTTCCTCTCCGCCGGTGCTGATTGTAATAAAGTGATAGTCCCGCTAGTTTCCGGCGGGGGTGCCATAGGTATCGATGTGCTCCCAATGTTATGGGATCCAAGTGCTTCCGTTGCGAGTTTCTTCTGACTTTCTCGTTCCGCAATGATCCTTGCCGCGGTTTCGTTCGTTGCACGTTGTTTGGCAGCAGCAACTTGTTTCCTCTTTCGTTCTTGTTCTTCTCGCAGTTCCGCTTCTCTTGCAGCTAGCATTTGGGCCTTCCTCTGGGCTTGTTGTTTCCGTAAAAATTCTTCCCGTGCAATAAGGTCCTCTCCTGGCATCGTCGGGCCTGGCGCACGCACGGCGGATGAAGGCGGTAATAGGGCAGGGGATGACGTCTTCACTTGTGTTTGCGACGGGGAGAGAGGTTTCTGTTGTGTAGAGGATGTGGATGCATCGTCAGGCTGACGAGTTTCGACCATTTGCTCCCTTTCAAGGGCCCAGGCCATCCTTGCCGCATCCGCCTCCATCTCCGCAGTTTCTTGACTTGATACGATACGCTTGGCGAATGGGCTCGATGATCGTGAAGGGACAGATGGATGAGCAGTCGGTCCAGCCGTAGTGATACTGCCCAAATGATTGATGATCGGGAATTGGGGAGCCTGCACAGAGGGCTGCACGGGTTTCATCGCATTTAGAACGACCAATCTATCCTCAATTTCCTTCTCCCTCCTTTCAAGCTCCCTTTCTCTCCTCTCCCTCTCAGCTTCATATTGACCAACAAGGGTCACAAAAGAACGCAAATCGCGTTCAACAGAGGACACGTTTTCCTTGACCTCCCAATCGCGTTCTTCTTCGCCCAACTGAAAATCTAATGCATTGGCCAATTCCTCAACATGTAGTTGGAGGGACTCTGCTTCTGTCAAATTCTCCTGGGCAGCACGAGCATTCTCTTTTGCGAGCTGAAGCGATTGTTGGGCGGTTGTGTGCGCCTTCTGAGCGGCAGCTAATGATCTGGCAACGCCCTCTTGGCACGTCCGTACCATAAGGCGGGCAGGAGTGAGATTGCGAGGGCTAATTTGTACAAGGGATGCATGAAGACGCGCATATAGGGACTGGATAGAGGTTTCCGCAGACTGGATATCTGAAGCCATACTGATATCCTTTGTTGGCGAGAATGGTGCCGAAGCGCGACCCACGGGCTGGTGGATAAGGGACTTATCCTTCGGTGGCATGGGAGTAGACCTCTGCGAAGGGTAAAGGAGGTCGGGATTCATTGGAGAAGAATCGCGACGGGAAGGTGATGTTAAAGAGGGGTTGGCAAGTAGTGACGAAAATGGCGAGGTAAGTTGTTGACTACGAGATGGTGGGAATGAAAGGACAGGTTTGAAAATGTCGATTCCTTCGCTCATCGGTGGCTTTAAAGGGGAATTGCTTTGAGATATGTCCATGTCGGATTTGGGTGAATCGATTGCTGTATCATCACCTGAAGGGCTTGCGTCACCGCTGGTGAGGCCACCCAGCGATTCCAACAGGGTTGGCCTTGTACGATTAGTAGACGGGATTTGCATTTCAGGACTTAAATGCCCGGTTTCAGATGCTACAGATGGTGTGGGGGATGGAACACGTTGGTCTTGATCTTGCGTGGAAAATCTGTTCAAAAGTGCTGGCTGTTGTCCGATGGTGGTGAACTTGACGTCAGAGAATCGTGGTGGTAACGAACTAGACCCCGCAAGAGTGCTGCTGGCAGTAGTATTGGTGGATTCGCTGCTGTTGCCGTTTTTGTCAAGAGGGACGCCGAACGAAGGATGGGCCATAGAACAACAGGGACCTTTTCTTGGAGAATTTGAGACAAAATCAGTCGGGAAACTGCGATACGGGGCAGCCTGCTGAGAAACTAGGCGTGCGATGAAGGTCTTTCGACGGTAAAGGTGGTCACCAGAGGCTAGAAAATCGTGGCGCTATGTCCGTGAAGGGGGGTAGGGATGAACCGCGTTGTGCCAACAAGCGCTCATATGGACGCCAGCTCAGAATAACCCTGATCACCAATATGTCGTAATGGTCACAGCACCGAATTCAGGGCCGGCGAATGATGAAACCGAAGCACTTTCCCACCTTCATTTTCGGTTCTTGCCACAGTGCGAAACATGTACAGCGAGGATGCTTTCCACTATCCATTACCAAAACAAAATTCCATCAAGTCTTCTACCCCGAATCGAGGCACGGGAAGGGATTCGAACCCCTGCTCTCTGAACCAGCTTGACCTAGTCACTGCTCGTCCAAGTGTGCTTCCACTACACCACCCGTGACGCTTTTGTTGCTATAATAACCACTACATTTCGCATCGGGTCAGGTATCCAGGATCTAACCGGTGCCAAGCTCAAGTGGTAAGGAACTTATATCTCCTTCAACAGTCGATTCTGAACTGCATCGTCATGATGCATCTACTGTACCAATTTACTACTTCCAACTAGCCCTCATCTTCACCGTCATGGTCGCTGGGTAAGTACATAAATATCCCCGTACTCACGTTCACTGATCTCGTGGAAGATATCTAGCATCTCACGCCTATCAAGTCCTATTCACCTCTTTAGTCATCTTTGTTCGTTTTTACGGCTACTTCTCCATCATCTGAATCTGTTATGCTCGCTCTCATTGCTAGATCCCAGCGACCAGGCAAAATCTGACTCGGAGTCGCTATCTTTTGAACCTTCAGCCGCATCCTCGCCCTTTGCATTGACAGGTAGGCTTCCTTCCACGCCACGCCATCCTCATGTCGGGCTTTGGAACGAAGCTTCGCCTCTGCGAGATCATGCTCAACCTTAGCGTGCACCAATATAGCATCCTGGTCTCCAACTTTTATAGTACCGATCCGCACAGGATTGTCAAACGACTCCGAAATAGTTTTGCTTCACTTTAGTGGTCCTCTAGGTCCTCCCCTGAGTCCCCTCCACTGCTACGATCATGAGATGGATAACTATCCGGACCCACGCTCACTGATCTCGTGGAAGACCTTCAACATGCCCTGCCTATCAAGGTTCCAGTCAAATTCACCCCTCGATTCTTCATAGGCATCTTCCCTGATGTCTGCATCCTCTTCCGAATCTGATTCGCTCTCGTCGCTCGATCCAGGTGACCAAGTGAAATCCGAACTGGAGTCGCAATCTCCCAAGTCCTCAAGCTCCACTGCGAGCGTCGCTCCATCAGCTGTCGCGGTGCCATCAGTAGGCAGATTCTTATCAATGATACCGCCACCTCCACTTCGGCCCCTCCGGCGGTGCTCAATCTGTGCGAGATCATGTTCGACCTTCGGATGCACCAACAAAGCATCCTTCTGCCCGACTTTTATACGACACAAGCAGAGGTCATATAGCAGAACATGATCTTTGTCGATTGTCCACGGTAAGCCGTCCTGTAATCCAGGGAGTCTGATCAAATCGAGGGAGATGACCCGAATGTATTGAACCGATGGAAACTCCCATTTCATCGGTAACTCCAAAGGGAAAACCGGGGCTTCATCAACTGGAGGCCGATACACGATATTCAAATGGGTGACCGTCGTTTGAGACAAAGGCCCAGTGGAGAAGCTGGTAGAAAGCTCAAGAAGCGATGGGCAAGCTTCGATCAACGGTTTCCGAAATCCTGTGTTCATTGCGGGGTTGTAGTCGCATGGTTTACCGTATGTGCCGATTCGTAGCCTTTTTATGTTCTGACCGTGCCGTTTACACAAAGTGGCGCAAGGCTGAGAGAATTCCTGCACTCGGGAGCAATTCAACTCTAGGTTCCTCAGGCATGGTAAGCTAACGTGTTGGCAAAAGGCACTGAGACGAGGCTGGATGATCATGGGGTCGATATCCAGAATGAGGGTATGAACGCTCGGGAGGGAGATCGTCCTATCTACACGGAAGTTGATAGCTCCCGTGGATAATGTGAGGCTGGTGATGGATGAGCCGAGCTTGGAAATGAAGTTACGGTCATTGATGTTACAGCACTGTCCAAGCGACAATTGCTCAACATAGCCCGGTATGATAGGCACCGTGGACATAGGAAACCACTCGTGCACGACTTCATGTTCGTAGGCAATTCGACGAAGGTTTGGACATGAGCTGAAGATCGGCTTCAGGCTCAAAGACATCAGATCGACGCTGGATTGGGGGACGGCACAGATGAGAATAAGACTTTGAACGAGACTGCCGATTCGCCTAGGATTGTCCTCAATGGTGTTTGAAAGCCTGACCAGGGCGCCAATGTTGTTGATGGTGATATTCCGATATAGCAAAGGCAATGCGATGCAATTCCACTCTTTGCATACGAGGAGGATACCTTTCTTGGTGCGAAGATTTTGACACCAGAGAGAATTCCTTCCTGGGTGGCAGCCGGGGTAAACTAGATAATCCGGGATTGGGATATGGTGAAAGATCTCTTCCAGGGTTTCAATTGGTAACCAGCTGATTCTTGGATGCATATTGCGGTTGATCTATCCGATTGACGTTAGCTCTACGATTTGAAAGGCAAGTTGAAGCATACAAGAGCACTAGCGGATAGTAAGCCAGTTCAAGTAGATTGGTTTGAACACGCAACACGAAACCAGCCGTCTTGGATTCCCACGAAAACTTTGTTCCATGTTGTGCTCAAACAGCACCTACATCATCATTCATCCATTTCACTGCGAGGATTACACTTTGCTCACGTCACATCTAGTCTCGACCGGCTCCGAACCTACCATTTGATGATCCCACAGGTTTTGATTCCTGATTACGGTTAAGCCAATGATCCGGGGGGTTTTCTCCATCCCCACCCGCAATCGAGGTGGTGCAAGAGCTTGACTACAAGGAAGACACTCATCCGCGTCTGCAAATCCTGGTAAGTTTCAGGGTTACCGTTTCTACGTCAAAATATCACTCTTCATGGGGTTGGCGCCATTTTCGCATTACCGAAGATACTCAAAAACAATCCCGAGGGACTCGGACGGCTGGTTCGGTCCATTTCTGTCATCTGTGTTATTCTCCGACGAAGTATCGATCTCGTTGGGATATGGATGCATATGCGATGAAGTGAAATTACTGCTGCCCTATGTGTCTCGAATCTTATGCGACTCTTCACGAAGAATCGAAGAGTACTACCATGCATATACTCTTGCACCTGGCCCAGTCAACACGGGCAGCGACACTGTTCAACGTATATAGACCGATTGTCTGACTTCCACGTCGCTTGTGTGGTCCTCCAATTCGTCCTCTCCCCTGTCATGTGCATGATCACTAGGAAGATAGATATCCCCATACTCACGTCCACTGATTTCATGGAAAATTTCCAACATCTCCTGCCTATCAAGACTCCAGTCAAATTCGCCCCTCAACTCTTCGTAGTCGATTTCGGCCTCTTCTTCCGAATCCGATTCACTGTCGTCACTCGATCCTGGTGACCAAGTAAAATCTGAACTGGAGTCACTGCTATCTCTCGAGGCTTCAGGCCTGTCTTCGCCCTCTAGTGTCGCCATATTATCTCCTGCTGCCGTACCATCGGCAGGTGCATTCTCATCAATTACACCACCATCACCATCACCATGTCGGCTTCTCCAACGAAGTTCTGTCTGTGCAAGGTCATGTTCGACCTTGGGATGCACCAACAAAGCGTCGTTCTTTCCGACCTTTATACGACACACGCAGATATCGTATAGCAGAACACGATCTCCGTCAATAGTCCATGGTAGGTTATCCTGTAACCCCTGCAATCTGGACAAATCGAGGGAGATGACACGGATCTGCTGAACGGATGGAAAGTCCCATTTCATGGGTAGCTCCAGTGGAAACGTCGTTTCATCTTCCGCTGGGAATGGATATATTATATCCAGCCGAGTGAGGGTCGGGTGAGACGCATGCTCAGTGAAGAAATCGATAGAGAGGTCAACAAGCGATGAGCACGCCTCGATGGTGGGCTTTCGACTCACAGAAAGTCCACGAGGGTTATAATACGGGTCGGGTCCTATTCGTAGGCTTTTGATTTTCCTACTATGTCGTTCACATAGAGCGATGCAAGCGTTCAGGAAATTTGGAACCCTGGCTGAGAATTCTAGGTTCCTCAAACACGGCAAGTCGATATGTTGGCAGAAGGAATGTAGATGATCCATGCGGCCAAAACCTTCGGTATCGATGACGAGGGTATGAACGTTAGGCAGGGTGATTGTTTCATTCTCGTTGAAGTCGAATGTCCCCATTTGTATCGTGAGATGGGTTATGAATGAAACGAGTCCAGGGAAAAGGTATTTGCGCACAGAGCAAGATCCCCCAAGTGTCAATTGCTCTGCACAATAGGGAATGAGGAGCATGGGGGGGGGGCACATAGTCGTGTTCGTAGGCGATTCGGCGAAGATTGGGACACGACTTGACGATCAGATCCAGGCTAAAAGACATCAAGTCGTAGAATGGTTTTGGGATGATATAGACAAGGCTAAGACCCCGAACGAGAGTACCGATCCGCGTAGGATTGTCCTCAATCGTCTTCGAAAGCCTCACCAGAGCACCAAAGTTGTTGATAGCAATGTTTCGATAGAGCAGAGGCAATGCAACACTATTCCATTGTTTGCATACCAGAAGGGTAGCTTTCTTCGTGCGAATATTTTGACACCAGAGAGAGTCCCTTCCAGGGTGGAAGTTGGGGTAAAGCAGATAATCTGGGATTGGGATATGCTGAAAGATCTCTTCCAGGGTTTCGTTGGGTATCCCGCTAATTCCGGGGCGCATGGATACGGTTGATCTAGCGGAGCAGTGTCAACTCCACGACTTGAAAGGCAAGTTGAAGCATACCAGGCTGCCAGAGGAAGTGGACAAGTTTTTGTACGTCCAATCACAGTTTCGCCGTTGATATGAGGTCATCTTTTTAGACACCGGATTGGCCCCGCTAACACGCCTTGCAGGATCAACACCTATGATGCCCTTTAGGCTTCCTTGCTAGAACAGAAATGGGATACTATGCAAGTTCCGAGCCCTGTCAAAGGAACTTGTTTTATTTGAGGGTGGGCCGGTGACCAACGTGAAACACCACACGGATCTACAGGAATGGAATAGGGACGGCGTAATGGCGCCAATTGTCGATATCGAATAGGTGACTTTATAAGTTATCGTTATCATTACATGGAAATGCGAGAAGATCCTGGGGGTAGTCAGCCACTGGTACTAAATTTCTTTCATGTCCTCGTGCGTGGTCGCATCCTTTGGGGGAGAGCAGCTCTTGATCATTGCTACAGGCTCGTCGCGCTTCTGATGACCTCCGTGGCGTCCAGCCGAGCCAGAAGTAACCGAGTTCGAGGGTT